ATCAGATAATGCATTTGCTGTTAAATGTCGAGTAAATTCTTTAATTGCTTTCAGTTATGCATTTCTTACAAAGTGAAGTTTTGATTGACAATGTAAAGTTAAAGAATTTATTTTTGAAAAACTGACATTTAAAAACAAAATAGTTTGTGGCAACAGTTAAGCCTCCATTTAAGGAAAGGGTTAAATGAATTATTGCAGTCTTAAGTGTATGTTGAAATAGATCATTTTGCAAACTTTCCATTTTCAAAAAAGTAGGGCAGAAAAATGCACTGTAATGTTTTCAAAAAGACAGTTTACATGTTTGTGGGTTGTAGTAATTTGGAGAAAACTGATATTTAAAAGGCATACCCGTATAGCCAAGATATTTGAATTGTTGGCTCTGTTATTATGGTAACATATTTGTCAGCAATCTTTTTTTGTATTAAGTGTACATGTATCTTTTCAATAATTTTACCTGTACTGTAAAATAATTTTGTCCTGAGACAGGCATGACATGTTTAGTACATATGTATCACATAAATACTTGAAAATCAACAGTCCACTGATCTCATCTTACCTGAACAGTCAGTATATTTGTAATTTCCTTGGCGCCTTATTTTACTCGCTGAAACCTTGATCAACTTTAGTGTTCCCTCTATTACCACAATGTATAGCTGCACTGCCACCATGTCCATCCCTTTTTCTTAGCGCCCTCAATAACAGATGTGTCGTTTGGCATTTTCAAGTTTCCATTCTCACTCCACCTTCCTGTGGTAACCTGATCAACCGTAACATATAAACAAACTGTGGTGTATTTTTCTCTTTCTTTGTATGAGCACACTCGTAGGTTGCTGTTGTTGATTCTATGCAGCTTGTATCATCTAGCAATGTTGTATAGGATCAATACATCCGGGGGCAGTTGAAGGCTTAACACATTCAGCAGTCCACAGCCCTCCCCCCAAGCCAACAGTTGGTCAACAGTAGGATCAAGGTGTTAAGGTTGAAAGCGGATACTCGTAATTACTGTGATAACGGTTTACTTTGACCGGCCCTTTAACTGGTCAAAACCTACGGTAGTCAACAACCTTGCACATGGGACTAAGTTGCGATGCATGCGATCAGAACGCCCTGCTCCCCAAGTGCAGCTACCAGGATTACTGATGACAGGATGCATGTTCCAGGCCACATGTTCCAGACCACGTCCAACTAATCCACCTCCAATATGGCTAACTGAGGCACCCCTACTGGCCCCTATGGCCACTTCACACATCAGCCCCTTAACATCTGAGACCTCTTCACTGAGGGCACCAAGGCATGAAACAGAATAGTGCTATCCGGGCCAACTCCCCATCACTTTCTGGGGCTTTCCCAGTAAATGCATCACTGAACTATGGATCTATACCACATTCCTACCACAGTCCACCCAGATGCAGGGCTGCCGACCAAGCTGATGTTGCCTTGCCCCCCTCCCCCTCCCCCTGGGGAGAGCAGAGGCCCAACGACAGTTGTCCAGGCTGGGAGAGAGCATTGACAGAGTGGAGGAGTCCTTACTGTGTACATCCATTCTACCACTGGTAACGGATCCCTGGTAACTGAGACCTGCGAGGAGGTTAGTCAATGCCTAACCCACCAACTCAAATGAGCACTACATGCCTAACCCTGCTGGCATCTGAGTCCACATCAACACTCAGGCGTGAACCAGACAATAGCACCACATACTCAATTCCCCAGCACTTCATGGGGCTGTCCTGGTGAATACACCATCAGAATGCAGATCTGTGGCCGCATCTCTCCAGTACACACACTGGCCTGCTGCACCACCATGGTTTCCACACGCCCCAGGTCTTTTTGCCCTCCGGGTTTTCCTTAGGATATCCCGGAAGAACACTTCCGAACCTCCTACCATTGCGGCTCACTTTAAACAGCCTTTTCCCGAACGTGAACCGCAGCTTGACCATTCTTCGATGCTCCACGTCTTCTTCCGCTAGGTCATCTCATAGGAAGTTACGTTCATCCAAACACCACACCTTCCTCAGCTGTCATCTCAACTTTCTAATCCCGCTCTGATTCACTCTCTCCGCTGGTCAGCCACCTTGATCTAAAGCCTACACCCCTCATTTTCAGCTCTGGATCCCAGTCCTCTTCCAACCGGTCCGCATCTGCATCCAACGTCCAAGATTTTCCCCATAGAGTGTGGACACGTATTGGTTATCAGCGCAGGGTCGGATAACCTAGCGGACGATCTACCCACATCCTAACCCACATACGATCTCTTGAAGGATACACAACAGGACCCAGTCCAGACTCATTGTAATCCTCATGATGGGTCTTCCAGAGATGAAGAAATAGTCTCTGCTATTAGGCATCATTTCAAATTTCCCATCGGTTGACTATAGGACAGGCCAGCCGACTGATAACAGTGACTTGTGTTGAGTGAATAATGGAGGGAATGTTGTTCAACTGAAATCACATAGCCTTGGAAGTAATGCAATAAAAAGGCATGTATCAGTTAGAATTGGCCACTTGAGAACACTTAACCTGATAACCAACCCATAATAAATGTATGACACCTACCCGATAAGAATTTTGAAATGGTGCCTTAGTCGTACGCCTTCAGAGACTCATCTTTGTCTACTCCTGAAACATATGATTCCAAGCTTTGGTCAGCTGTAAAAGGCAAGATTAGTTCAATTCGGCTAAGTCTTCCAGCAAGGCCCCTCTTTCTTGACTGCCTTTTATTTCACTTGTTGGAGTATCTCTCCTGTGTGTGAAAAAAGGTATCTCCTGTCTCTCCAGACCACGCAGCAGTTGCTCTTGTGGTGCTGGATAAGAATGCCATCACTATCTGCGAGCAATTTTCGCTCATCTCCCACCTCGCTTGAGGCCATGAACATCCCGTATGCGGATATGAAAGCAGATCTCAGTGCCTCTCCCTTTTTACAGGAAAGACTTATTCATGGGGTAGCCCATTGAATCGCATCAAACCAACTCACTTGTTCCATTTGTTCACCCTGTGCACCAGCGAAGTTCATCCCTCCCCCACAAATAATACACAGGACACTGTGTTGGGAACCACCTACTACTTTATGTCTGGTAAGTTTTCACATCAGTCAGATGGGTTCTTGGAACTGTTTTCAGGTATTCTTTGAATTTACAGGTGCCCCTCCCTCCGAATAAATTCTTCACCAAACTCCAGTCCCTCCAACAAGATCAAATGGGATGGCATCAGAGACACACACACACATGCACAATGGAGGTTCATTCGTTCCTAGACATTTTCCTGGCCATTGTTGGTGAATCTGAATATCGCTCACTTTCATGCCTTCAGTCAATCTACAGTTCTACAAGTTCCTTTGATGCATCTGCGCCGGAAGAACCTTTGGAATTCAACCGGCTATTTAGTCTCTCAATGTCCCAAGGGGTCTTCACCCAAAGGCTGGAGTTGTTGCCACCTACCTACACCAGTTAGTTACAGCGAACTCAGCATAGACAGTTTCCCAGACAAGGCCGCAGCTGACACTGTGGTTGTCCCTGATGGCTCCACACTGTCAGACCACACAGACATGTTTACGTTTTATGTAATATTTAGAATTTCACTGTATGTTCATGATGTAACCAAGCCTGATTCTTTTCAGGTACATGTATATGTAAATTGTAAACTTTCATTCTCGTGTATGTCATGGAAGTGATGTCAAAATTAAAAGAAATGGGACTGGACAAACTTCTTCTCCTGGTTAACTTTACAGCTTTTATTCCAGACATTTGTTTCACACGTACACATATTTGGCAGTTTCAAGTCTGATACGTGTACTTTCCATTTCAATTATAGTTGTAGTGGCGATCGAAGTCACGTTGACAGCTCATTCACGAAGCCTGCTCCAAAACATGCAAGCGGCCTGCCTACATGCATTGTACATGTACATGCAATATATGTACGGTACTTGTACATGTGCACGTACAGGTACATGTACTTAACATGTACATGCACATGTAGTGTGTTCCGCCGGTTAGAGTGCTGTGTGGTTATAATGCTCCATTTCGTGGGGTCCCATTGGGAGCGCTGTAACGGGAATCTACTGTATACATTGTACCTTTTATGTTTATGAAATTTCAAATTTGGAAATAGCCTGTTCCCCTGAGGACTAGCCTGTGCACAAAAGAAAATGAACAGTGGTTCTCTCTTACACTGTGTGCTTCTTGCTAGGTGTAGTTGTTCAGCCGTTATTTTGTAATTGTGGCCATTTTCAAGAATTTCAATGTTGTACATACTTGTATACATGTTTCATGCATTTTTTTTGCATTTGCACACATGCTTCCTAAAAAGTTCCCAGTCACTATTTCAGGAATGATACCACAGTGGATTCTAAATAATGCAGAAAGTGCAACAACATCCAAAGGCTACAAATTGTCTGAATGGAATGTTGAATCTATTCACATTGTTGATCAGACTTCAGGTGGTGGTAAAGGTACATGTACTGGTTGTTGCGGACAGTTCTTTTGCTCCTCTGGAGCTCCGTACTTAGTCTATTGAGGGCGCTGTTTAGAGAGATGATTATGAGGATAACCTAACATTCCAGAAGTTTCCATCGTGTTTTGTTGTTGATTGTCGTGTTGATTGTCATGTTGATTGCTAGTTTGCTCTAATTTTGCTAGTGTATATCATCTTAATTGATCTTCACATCTTAATTCAGTTAATTACCAGGGTTTCAGGAATCAAATCAAGTGCAAACAATCATTATTCCCCCAGCGTAGTATGTATGTACAGTTTAAGTATTTTAGCTTCGTTTTGTGCCATGGAATATAAGTAGGACGAAGGTCACTATATTGCAATTGTTTCATGGCTCATGTCATGTCAAATATCTTATGTGTAATCTTAAGAGTGGTTTCTACGTAAGCTGAAGTTGGTAGTTAATAGTTAAAGCTTCATATTATGAGAAAGAATTATGAGAAAGGCCAATGGCTCTTCTTGATGAAATGTCTGATGATCATTATTATTTACTTAGGGATTTCTATACTTGCAGGGAAACTAGGACTACTGATACGCATACACAGAATGAAGTGAATTTTCGAGATGACCTGAACAGCAAGAAGAGAAGTAGGCATTGCATACAATCAGGTATGACTTATTATTCATAGTAATTTACAATGTTTAACACAGTGTTACTAACTTTTTGCCCCCAAAAGACCTATTTCTCTCTCAAATGTCTACTTTGAAACATTTATGTAACTATGCAAGCCTTTGCTGGCTATAGCACTTTGAAGATATGCAAGCAGTCCCAGCAAGTGAGATTGATGCGAGTCAACAAGAACATTTTTTAACAATCTGAGCATCTCAAGTCGTGACAGGAAGGCAGAAGGAGCAAGATAGGGTTGTGAATTTTCAAATATCAACTTGAGTGCAAAGTGTACCTCTATGAACCCATTGGTTTTATATCAGTCTTATCTCCTCTAGTATGTGTAATAAAAATCACTCCTTTTGAAGATGTCATTGTGACGTCACGAAAACTTCC